TCAGTCACCTGTCATTAGACTGCAGTATTAGCTTGAAGCACCATAATAAGGTTGTATAGAGCTCCTTTAATGCACAGGAGCTCAACTGTTACACAGAAGATCCAGTTTCCATTTTTGATGCTGCTTCTAAAATCTGTTACTACAGTGTAGGAGTAGTGGGTCTGGCTTTGTCCTCATTGTTCACTATCATGTGTGTCCAAGCCACTTGTGTCTGTGACACACAAGGCCCACAGCGTATTTGTGGAAGAGAAAGTAACCAAAATTGGGAGTATGCCCCATCTCTATGAGCAAAAGCTGAATTTTCAAACGACCAATGTCCAGAATTCCACTTACTGTATGAGTAAATGCAAAGCTTTGAAAGATTGAAAACCTTATCATGTTGCATATTAGTTGTCAACTGCTTGTTCCTGTTGTCTGTTTCATACTGTACTGTATGTTACAGATCTTATGCATGTTCTTAGTCTTTAGTTTTAGAAGAAATAAACTGTGGAGTAGCATTTAAACCTGGGAACAGGAGGCACTTCTTTTATGGAAAGGGTTCTGGGAGTAAGGAATAAGCTACATAGTTGAAGCTGAAGCTGAAGTCGTTGAAGCTGATAAACAAGATTCCTTTACACAGCTTGTGGATGAGATCTGGATCAATTAGCTCATAACTACTTAATGAGTTCGATAGGCCAAATGGCTTCCTCTTATTTATTTTATTCTTAAACCACTCTTAATAATACTTTAGCATCAGTGAGGTCAAGTGCAGCAGTAAAAGTCGTAATTGTTAAGCCAACTGAATAATTAATGAATACAATTAAATTTGCATAACATGCATTGCAAGTAACTTGTAGATTAGCACTCTAGTTGTATAGTATACTTACTCTAAGTTTTACTCTAAGTTTATCCACAATAGTTTCTTTATTTTGGATTCCACAAAAGCTAATTGACTGACACTAACATGTATGCAATAGGATGCACTTCTTCATCACATAGTGACCTGGTGCATAAGTTCCAGTATAAAACCTGTGGCCAGTAGAAAACACTATAACCAGTCTTGTGAAGAACGCTCTAGCTTTTGGACCTCTGTCACTGGGGATCTATATGCACAGAATTGAAATAAACTCCTGGAAACATTCTGGAATGGAACATTCTCTTTCAACAAAGATAACAAATCTAAGTACTAAGCAGTCAATGAAGGATTGACTCTAAAGACTATACTGGTGTTGCTTTCTACCTGTTTTACAATCCACATCTGGAGCCAAGCACCTTTCATTTCTTTCCATATACAGTATAAAGATCCACGAAATGGAGCAGTTTATTTTCAAATGGAGGAAATGCATTCTCGTGGACAGGGATTGTGTTGAAAAGTTAAACCACATACTGTACATGAGATATTGCCATCCATTTCTTGCCATTTTAAATAGGTATTAGTCGAATAAAACATTGGTACTTTACTTTTTGTTCCTTTGGGGTGGGATAAGTCACTAAACTAAACTACATTTTGTTTCAATAAGGAAAGCCTTCCCAGGATAACACAGGTGTCACTATGTTTAAAGGGAAGAGATTGATTTTGCTCCTCGGATCATTTTAGTATTCACATTAAATCTGATCTGAAGTGGTGCAAAGATGGCTTTGATTGCTTAAGCTTGGCAAGAGATTGTACTGCAATTTCTATCAAATTGAAGGACATAAAATAAAATTAGGAGATAGTGTAAATTAAGGTGGAAATTTACAAATATTGCCTTGCATAGAGCAATGAAGCATTTACGTGCCATTGTCAGTTTAAAACTTCTCATATCTATCATATTGATTCTGTGGTTTGGTAGTACTGTATGTTTCAGTCCCAAGAATTAATTGCGTTTTTATTACTGTTTATGATCTGGCAGTATGAAATACAGATAATATCTTGAAGATAATATCTTGAATTTGTGCTAACAGCTTTTTCTTCTTCTGTATGATGTCTTATTGAAAAGAAGAATCCAATCACAGGATTAAGCAAAGCCATGAAATCCCTAAGTAGTCCTATGTACAGTTTATTGTTGATTTAACCAACTAGGCCTACAAGCCCTGCACTGCAATGTGCTTAAATGATTGCATCTTTCTAATCTTTCTGTCTTTCACTGCCAGCAGTAGCTCTGTCAGGATCCTCTAATTCCTTTAATACAAAGCTCTGCAGAGCTTCAAACAGTTTAAAAACAGAAAACAACCTCACCCCTCTAGCATGGCTAATTATCAGAACAGTATCATTTAGAATGATACAAACGTCTATACATTTTAAGAATGTGCACTATACTTGTATTTTTTTTAATAACACTGAGTTATTTTCCCCTCATACAGTATGGGTGTAACTACACTCCAAACCTTTTCATAAGTGGAAAAATGTCCTCCTCTAGAGGGCGCTCCGACCTTTTTGTATTTGAGTTTCTTTATTATGTGGACCCGTCTCCTATTTTCCTGTCCCTACTTAAGTTTGGCATCTGCAGGCTTCAGGGCTTGGTATTGGAAGATGGACGCCACAAGGCCTGCCTATCCCCCGGGCTTGCGGATAGTTGGAGGGCAGGTCTTATTTGTCACGCCCTCTGCAGCCAGAGGGCGCTCCTTCTCTGTCCTGTCCCTAGTTTCCGGTCTGCTGTCCTTCAGGTCCCTCTCTTTCCCTTGGGCTTTATATTTCCGGGTCTTGCATTCTGTCCTCGCTCAGCATTGACGTTCGGATGTCCTGAGACCCGCCTAGCACCAGGGCGCCCCACGTCCGCTCCCTGAGGGCATAGGTTTCTATTCAGCATTCCTGAACTCTTTGCACTAATGAGCCCGGGCCTTTTTCCCGTGTTGCCGTTATGCATATGGGTCTTTTTCCGCTCTCCTGCTCCCCACGTTTAGTCCCTTTGGACGTCCGTGACATTATTCCCTGCCGTCCTGACCATCTTAGTCCAGAGCTCGGAGCACCCGGCTACATTATGATTTTAACTTCCTTGTTCCTGATTCCTCGTCCCTGTTCCTGTCTCTGTATGGATGGATCTCCTGGCTATGGGCTTTTGGACTGCTTCCTGGTTTCCCCTTTCAGATTGTTTTGGACTTGTTCGCCTGAGCCATGCCCCCCGAGCACTAGAACATTGCGTCACCCCCCCAGTCAGTCATCCCATCCTGATCCTCTCCTGTTTCCCTGTTGCCCTTCTCCAGTCTCTTCCGGATTTTACCGTCTGCATAGGGTCCTTCTGTAAATACACACTACGCGGGAGTCTGGACCGGCTCCCATGACAATTATACTATTAAGTTAAAATTCTCGCAATTGTGGAAAAAGTAAGCACAAAAAAATGGAGCAATTACTTCATAAAACAGAAGCTATTTGGGTTAATTAGAGTGAATATACAATATCTGTACTGAGGTAAAGAGGCTTTATTCTGTGACATTATTGGACCTTTATACAAGAAAATTATATTTTATCATCAGGTGTTTACACTGTTTAAGGAAATTAAAAAAAAATGTTTCTTTGCATATATGAATTTGCATGCAATCAGCTATTTATTTTACATTTTATTGTTTTATGAAAAGACATTAATTATTTTCTGAACATTTGCTGAGGTCAGTAATTCCTTATAATTCATTTTTGAGCATACAATTACCCTCTAAGTGTTCCTATTTTATATAGGCACCTGTTTATTGAGATGTAGGTAGAGGAGTACTACTCAAGTGTACAACATTAGTGTCACAGCCTGGGACTTGAACCCACCACCCCACAGTTAAGGGGCACACAGCATTATCCACACTGCTCCATCCCACCATCTGAGGTGGTGTTGGATTCTATACAGACTTAAGTAAAATTTCTTGCTTTGCCTGGATTGGTGATTTTGGGGATTTGGAAATGGATTGGTGAAGGAGCACCTCTGAGATTAAGGCTGAAACTGCCCCAGGTCGAGGTTTAGCTGCTTTATTCTGTGGATTATTACAAAGAACAAGAGAAGGCAGCAGTTTTCAGGTACTGTAGTTATATGAGAAGACCTCAGGCTCATAATCCTTTGAATTCTAACACTACCTTTGCTCTTCTCTAAATCCTACATCCACCTTCTACTATACACCTCTGATTCTTAATCACTCCTTCATATCTAACTAACCCCTGATACTATAACCAAACTCTCCCTTTTGGATACCTCAGCCAATGGTGGGTTGCTCTTCAATGGTGACAGCTGCTAATCACAATGACTTGTCAAACTGTTGTTTGTAGAGTAGCAGGTTCCATGCTCAACCTCACAATCAAGCTTGTCTTCAGCAATTTTGTCTACCACCTACCTCCAGCCCTTGACTTGTTACATTATAATTAATGAAAAAGGGACAAAATACCACAATTGTGTTTTCTCATTAAGATAGGACCAGGACAGGGTCACATGAATGAAGCCTTTAAAAAGCCTTTTTTAAAACCTTTAAAAATTATTTTTCAGGTGGCTATATGAGACTTTTTGAACAATGAAGATGTTTATATCTGGGAATGTCAGAAGACACTAATCAGTGTTGCATGGTTGCATATAAATTCATACCTCAATGAGCATTCAATGCCACTATATCAAAGTCCTTCCACCAGACACCTCTGCTGTAGTTCTGAGGTAGCACAAAGCTCTGATAATGTGTTGGTGAGACATCCAATTGCAAAGGTTTTGACATTTATTGTTTTATTTATATCCCTGAGACCTTTGCATATTGTCAACGAGCCTATTATCAGCAGATTATGTGATCCCTGGCCATGTTATGGATACTGGAGTGCTCATGCAGGAACAATCATCAAAAATGTCATTGCTGACCTCAGAAGGTCAGTGTGATAACATTCTGCCCATCCTAATCCTTTTCTGTGGTTCACTGTGCTCTTAATTAATGTGGCCATCGCATGCCTTTACCAGATGCATCAATTAGTGCAGAAGCTAATGTGACTACTCTGCTCTCCTTTATTTCTAACAGTCCACATACCCTGTATTCTGCAAGTTTGTTTGTTTTTTTTTACTTTTAATTTTTTTTTAACTTGGATTAAAACACATGCATAATCAGAGCTCAGTTCACATTGCGTTCTTTGCTCTGTTTAATGTGTTGAAGTTTGAAGAGGAGGAATTACCTTGAGTTAACATTGTACTCAGACTGACCAGATGCAACTTAATTTACGATTGTGATTTTTGCTTACACAGTTTTGGCAATGCAGCAGACAGCCAATAGAGGTACTGTATGTCAGTAGGAGAAAAAACATGAGTACGTAGAAACACAACACAGAGAAAATGTAACTTTAATAGTACAAAGAAATTAAAGATTGTTCTACTTTTAATCGGTTACTACTTTCTTGCTGAAGAAAAGTGTATTTTAAAAGAAAATTGAAACACATTTGAAAAAGATTTCACTATATTTGGCATTATATTAGAGCTTACATTGATATGACAGTTTTTTACATGCTACTAATGCATGACATAGTATAGATTAAGATATGAATTACTATATCAAGTACTTTTAAAAGAAACAAGAAGTTCTTGGAAATTCAACTTTGAACGAAAAAATCTTGATGCTGGTTAATAAACTTATTCAGATTTTGATATGTGGTCTCAAAAAACTCTTTTACCTTTGGCATCTGTTGCTTTTCAAGGATTTTATTTACAATCTCATTCTCAATGGCCTTGGATGCACAGTTCTTATGCTGAATATTATGAGAGAGGTTTTTCAAGGGTTCAATTACTAAGACACCAATTCCAGAAGCCTGTTGTCTTTCCATCACATGCTTTCTTAAATACTCCTCATACCTGTTAAACAAACTTGTTAACATCTCTCTGTAGGTAGCAATTGTTGACTCTGTTCTTGCCCTGTTTCCTGCTCCGATCCTTACAAGATGGATCTGCATGTGGGTGTGAAAGGCAGCACCATTAATCCATCTTTTCATGGCACTGGAATCCATGTGTCCATTCATAATCATTGCTGTATAAGCATGGAGCAGCATGTCATTCAGCGTGTGTTCATAGCGACTGGTTTCTTCTTTCATCTTCTGGGGGTCATCCGTGATTTCTGAGACTTCAGTCAGGTACTTACGTATCAGAGCCCCGATTTCTGATCCAGTTTCCTCACCAAATGTGCCTTGGAGTGGATGCTTCACTGTCTGCATTTTGAGCCCTTGTCGCAGGAGGATTTCAAACAACAAAGACAAAGTAATGGCAATGATTCCCACGCCTCCATAAGCTATTTTAGTGTTCTCCTGAAAATGGGAAGACAGCATTTTTGTGAAACTGCTGAACTGATCTGTGCTGAGGGAGCTCTGTATGTCAGCAAGGTGCCAGCTGAGCTGTGCAGAGGAGTTCAAGGAAAGGTATTTTAAGAGAGTACTGTCTATAGTTATGTCAGGGAGAATCCCTGCATCACTGGCAACATAGAACAGATCTTCTACTGTGTCCTTGGATGGATGGCAACTGCTGCTTCTTCCTCCCATGTTTTCTTGCTCTCATGATGGATAATATCTGTTTAGTGGTTGTATTTATATTGTGTTCTTCTAAATGTGCAGTTCATACATTTGCCTGAGAGCCATTGCCCCCTACTGAGTAAATATTTAAAGTCTGCACTCCCAGAGAGCAGTTTTCACAAACAAAAACAACATGAAGAGGAAACAAAAAGGAACCATAATCAGCTGTCAAACAAATTCCTCTGCAATCTGGTTTTCTAATACAGTACTAGAAATCTTTCACAAAACTGCTGTAGTTTGGTTTGTGTGTCTATTTTTTTAGAAAGCTTCTCACAGATTCTCGAATGACAACATAACCTAAGTAACAATCCTCTGGAGCCACAGAGGCTTCATTTTAGGTTTAGACTTCATAATGTACTGCAGCACTTTCTAGAAATATGATTTGGTGCCAAGGGTTTAATCAAGAACCTCTTTCATTTAAAAAAAATATTTTATCATGCAGGCGTCTATAACATTTCCAATTAACTCCTTGGTCAGAAAATGTAGGGTAGAACTTGACATTTTTGTTGCTGAAGTTTTATTTTCCCCAGTAGTAAGCCTTTTGATATTTTCATTCCCGTCAAAAAAACATTACTAAAGACTGTAAGAAACATTAGGTCTACTGTAAGAAAAGCAAGGGGCTGTTTTGACATAAGTGAATATTTGTTCCATTTTGTTAATTTTTGATGTTTCACTTAGCCCTCTAGCTGTTTGAATCTGTTCTGAAGAGGCATACTTTCTCTTTGGCATTTTTTATTGAATCTGTTGCTTTTTACTATTGCCATTGTGACATTTGTCCTCTGAAACATGTTCCTCAGAATCCAGGTCATCACCAACTTCTCTTCCTGTAATTCATGCTCTTTTTTGTGTGCAACATGTCCTTGTTTAAGAATTTTACAGCTTCTTGGACTACAGAAGGTTTGCAATAATTCCTGATATTTGTAAACAAAATGCATTGTTATTTATGGGTTATATACCCTCCATCCAAATTATTTTATGATGTATTGAAATTCAACTCATTTATAAATTCCGCAATATATTTGTGTTAATAATTGCTGTGGTCTGTTGTATCCTGAATTTGTAAAACAATTTAAGATGTTGCTCACAAAGATACGGTGCTATGCCAAATATATATTGATTGCTGTCCTGTTCACTGAAATGTCAGGTTAACAGGTTGGGCGCAATTATAATGCAGCTCATTAACTTTGCTTTTCCTAAAAAAAAAATATTGTGTTACAGAACCATAAGTGAACACCATTGGAGTATGTGTGGCCTCTTAAATAAAATTGCTCATTTGTTTGTATGGTTGGTTGTTATTTTTCCCCCAACAGCTGCAAAGAACAAAATTTGGTAATGACAGGGTGTAGTAAATAGCATTCTGAATTCCCTGTTTTATTTGCTCAGGCTCAGCAAAGAGACCATATAGATTCTATTTAAATAACTCAGTGACAGACTCCACACACACAGATTCATTTTTCATTTTCATTTGGCTTTAGTGGACGCATCATTATGGGAAATATTTCACTAAGCCAGTAAGTGACAAGACAGTAGGTACTGCATTGTGAGGGAGTGTTAACATCCCATGTCAGACAAGCATAGAAATCCACTTAAATTAATCCTCTGTGGGGAGGTGCAGTAGGAGCTTTTTTATTCCTGAGAAAAATTGCTTGAGCTGTGCAATAGTAAACACAGAGCATGTTTCATGTCAGATGCAAGGCAGACACCTCAATCTTGGTTAATGCCCAGCCATGACATGAGGTGTCATAACTAGTCTGCAGTAATTCCACCAGATTCACACAAGATGGCTCACGTCCAAAGTTTATTTGTCATTTGTTACAGTATATGGGAATTATAAATAAAAATGTAAGCCAATAGTAGAAAAAGACTGTCATCTGTATATAGTACAGTCTACGATACAGCATCCAGTATAGAAAAACAATATACAATTTACAATGTACAATAGTTAACAACAGTCGGCAGTATGCAGTGCGAAAAATACAGCATTTAACAGTCAGTGGTAATGGATAGTGGTTAGCCTGGTGGGCTTTGTTTTGATTCTGTGGTACCGCCAAACAGACCACAGAGATGAGAACAGTTTGTTTCTGTGATGTATATGATCCTGTTGATGCTTTGATCCTGTATTATGGCACAGGCTTTATTTAGCTAACGGTTGATGTAGATCTCTTCAAATGATGGTATGTCAGATCCTATGAATTTTTATTCCAGATGTCAGAGCGCTCTGTATGGCCCACCTATCCCGTGTGGTTCTGTGGCCTTATCTTATGGTGATACCACCAGTCAGGACACTCTTAATGGTGTAGCAATAAAACTTCAAGAGTAACCGATTAATCATCCCGCATTTCCTCAAATGCCTCAGAAAATGGAGTTGTAGGAATCTGAAACATCTAACAATTTCCACTGATGCTCCATTTGATTGCGGATCAGAGTATGGCTCTCTTTCTGTGTCCTGAACTCCACAATGAGTTCTTTTGTCTGGGTGACATTCAGGGCTAGGTGTTAGGGCAGAGCAGTGGCACTATGGCTGGAAGGTTGCCGGTTCAAATCCCACAGCCAGCAGAGGAATCATACTCCGTTGGGCCCCTGAGCAAGGCCCTTAACTCCAGCTGCTCCAGGGGCGCCGTATAAATGGCAGACCCTGCGCTCTGACCCCAAGCTTCTCTCTCCCCGTCTGTGTGCCTGTGTGTCTCATGGAGAGCAAGCTGGGGTATGCGAAAAGACAATTTCCTAGTGCAAGAAATTGAACAGTATATGGCTAATAAAGTGATAAATTAAAGTGAAAAGAAACCTGTGTTGATGGGGACTAGCAACGGAACTACAGTATGAGATGTGGGATAAATCCACGCTTTGGGCTAGACAGCTGACAGTACCAGGGAAATTGCACAGCAGCTGACTGGGGAATCTGTTCAGCAGCACACAGTCAGAGTGAAGCCGAGCAGCAGTGCATGCACACAGGGACTGAGCTGAGCGGAAAGCATGCACACTGAGACATGAGCTGCAGGCTGTGTTGCATTGAAGGGAACAGTAAAGAAACAGCAACTAGCTCGAGGGGGAAGATGAAAGATGAAACACCTGAGCAGTGCCAGAGCTGTCCTGAAATACTCTGTCCTACCTAATATGGTTGTGTACATTTCTTGCAGGTGATGCAGATTTCCTGTTGACACCATGGTAACCTGTACCGAGAGAAAGGTGCATTGCTGGTTACGATGACAAACGCTAGCTCGCTCCTCAACCAGCCTTTGTTGTCTATCTTTACCACCTATGATCTGCCCTTTTGGAGAGAACAGTTGTGTTAACGCCCGCCTGGAATCAATACATATCATTCTGACATAAAGGCAGATATCCTGCCTGTCAAAGTGTTTAAGGACAATGTGTAGGACCAGAGAGATGGCATCATCCACTGACTTCACCACCTAATTTCCAATTGTAACCTTTAGCTTGTGCTTTACTGTTGATGCTTAACAGTTAACAGTTAATTGTCTGGGTTGACTTGGCCAGTGACTTGGAGGATTTTGAATACTTGTATCAGGTCCACTCATAGTCTTCTCTGTAGAAGATTTTGAAGATCCTGGTCCTTTAGCCTGTTAGTGTAAGACAATTTTTGTATTGCTTCCCTCATTGTCTAGAATATGTACTGTAAATGATGTGTGAACATTAACACTTAAATCATTTTTATGAATAGCCTCCTTAAACCCAACATTTCCCATTTTGTACGTATGGTTTGTTTTTACTCTGTGCAGATAACACTCTGCACTTGCCTGTATTAAACTCTATCTGCCTAACAAATCTGCACACACTGACAAAATCTGGGACTGTAGCAGGTACTACAAAGCCTTGATAGGCGTCTACAACATCAGCAGTGAGACACGAACAAGGAGACACAGGCAGAAGCTAAGGGGAAGTGCATTTATGAACCGGGGCACAAAGGGCTTATGGGAAAGCCACAAGTTTACACTTGAGATGTCAGGAACAAGCAAAGTATAAGTCTAGACAAATTATTAAGGTGATATCTATACTTTCATCACTGGATCCTCCGATCATTCATGTAATAGCAGCCGGATGCATTGAATAGTCATTTATACCCTTTCTTTTGTTCTTATTCTTGCTAGCCGTCCACTGGCATACACTCTTCATTTATGGACTTGAGTATCACAACCAGAAGATTAATTCAGGAAATGTTAGAAATCACTGAATGTATGAAAAGTACGAAATGACAAATTAACTTTGTAAAAGAGTTCAAAAGGCACCAAAGTAAATAGTGGGGTTTTGGTATGAGACTTTTTTCACCACATATTTGCAGTTCATATTTAAAGACCAGCACAAGTCAGCCTAAGAAAATGGTTCACCCGCAATCATTTGTCAGATGAGATCACTGCACTTTTGTATCATTTATCTTGTTCTTTGTGGAATATAATGATCAATACTATCCTCCATTAAAGTTAATGATGTTCTTATTTATTCATTACAATAGGAAAAACTCCACCGTTCCTAGGCTGATATATGTTCAGTTTAGGTTAACTTTCTGAAAAAACACTATAAAGATTGTTGAATTATTTATGTATTACCCCCTTCCAACATACATTCAAGTACATCATTATTAAGCCATTTACTATTAATAGGAACACAGATGGCTTTTCAAATTTTGAAAAGCCATTAACTTTGTAATGTAGCATATTTCTTTTTCTAGAAATTCCTGGTCAAGTATTAAAAGGCCTTTGAAACTGCTGTAAAGATTTGGGACTTCAAATGTAATTTAACAATCAAGTAACTTAAGAAAATAAGGTCAATTTGCAATTTCCTAATCACAACACATTTGTTGATCTTTGCATAAGAATCAGATTTTTGACAAATCTCTGCAAAATGTCTGACACGTCATAATGAGATAATATTTTAGAAACAGACCGCGCTGTTGTTGATTTTCTAGCAATTCTGATTATTAAGAAAGCTTAAAAGGCACTTTCCCAAGACAGATTTTGGAGTTAAAAATACAGCTTGAATCCCCAT